GTATCCTTCTTGTACACCAACCTGATTATCTCCTGTTGCTGGGTGCAATGCTAAAGCTATTGAATGTCACTTAAATGTCATTCTGTTTTTCTCTGACAACCAAACAGACTACCAACTAGAAGCAAATTTGATGCTCATAGTTTTAAGTCAGTAACCTCATTTTATTGTTTTTGGTGTCCATGTAATTATTCATATACTAACCTTATCTATAAAAATTCACACAACAGCCTCTTTTGTGGCCAATTTGTGCCACATCCCCCGGGTAGTTCAGGCTAAAATAAACTCCACTTTCCCCCATAACCTCCCCCACACCCTAATCCGTTGCTTTTTTCCCCCTGCACTTTTGATTGAATCTGCGTCATGTATTTCTCCATTTTTGTTTTTGTTTTAAATATGTATTAATGTGCATTGACATTATAAAGTACAAGCTGCCACAGAAGAAGCAGAAAGGGAATGATGTCACATGAAATCATTTGGTCAGCTAACATTTCTATAAGGTATTACTTAAGATCGAAGTTCAAATAGCACTTGGCTAAGGAAATTGGCTTTTATAGTGTCTTTGCATTAAGAGCAATATGTAACCATTACGTCCCTGTCAGAGAGGGAGAAAAGATGGAGAGTGAACTGCTAGAGAAGAAGAGTGATGATTATTTAGCCTTTCGTTTTGCCTAATTAAGCAATGACAAGTAATTGTTCAAACAAATTGCAAGAGGACATATCTGAGGCACTCAGGGGTCATTTGCGTTATGTCAAATAATAAATAAAGACATAACTGGCTGACACGTCACACACGGGTGTGAACTAGAGATTAAAAGGCCATACAGATAGAAACAGGGACATCGCTGTGTGTGCTGTGATCTCTTCCCTGGGTGAGTGCGGTCATTTAGAATGCAGATGTTCACAAGTCTGTCTGTTGCTCTGGGTGGAGCCGTGCTTCTATCTTATCCTGTTACACAGTCTACAATACTTTCCAGTTTCTTTACCTTGCAGCTTTCATGATATTCTTCAAAGAGTGCATCAAATATTTATAAAGCAGTAAGAAGAAAGCGTGATCTAGCTTATTCCCCTATGCCATAAAACTCCATTGTTGTTACACTATTGCGTTGAGTGGTGCATTACTGCATTACGATAAACACGAGCCCTATGCATCTTAAGGCTTGCTCTAATGCACAAACTTATTATCAAAATTCAGTACTAGTGCACCACATATGGTACTGTGCAAAAGTCTTGAGTCACCCCATATCTCTTCATATTTTGCTTAGTTTGTACATTTCTTATCAAAATGAAAATCAATATTTGAAATGAGCATCTTTATTCTATAAAACAACCTGAACTCTCTTAGGTAAGCTTCCTTGTAATTTCTTTAAGCAATGTGATGGCAAATTTTTAATGATTCTGGTCTTCCGTGTGTTAAGCTGATGATGAAAAGTTCTGACTGTATTGTGTGACAATGGTGGCTAGATAACATGTGCTTGGATGATTCATGGTCCAGCACAAGGACTAGAATGAAAATGAGTGAAGAAGCTGCCAATATCCAAAGGACTTTGAAAGACCTTCGAAAACCCTGGAGAACTATTTTTCAAGACTACTTTGAAAATTGCAAGAAAGTCTGGCTACTCCAAAGCAAAATATAAGGAAAGGCAGCTCAAGATGTTTTCACAGTGCTACATGTATTAATCTTTTGATAATACTGTAACTCAGACCTGCAAAGTTGTGCACAAACACCCGGTTGGTGTTTTAATATTTTCATGGGATTTGTTATTTATGACATAAATATAAAGCCTCACCAACCTTAATATTTAAATGTGAACTGCTTTTAACCTGAAAGATCATTTCAGTAAGAATCAGTTAATAAAACATAATTATGCATTTTCCCCATGTGTTGAGTTCATACTTTGTTTTCGCTCACTAGGCATAACAATCAGCCCATTCTAAAATTGTCTGTTCCCTGGATCTACAAATAAACCACCCAGGAGCAATGCAGAGTTGTTTGTGCTCCCCTTTTCTTCTTCTTCATTTTACATTCTCCACATGGGCTTATTCAGCCCAACTCTGTGGCTAACACTTGTAATCCTCATCACATGGGGGTAGCAGTTACTCCATTAGCAGGGTTTCTTATGTTGATGTCAGACAGGCCATTGGTTTGCAAGGGAAATCTTGTTAGGGTTCTTATTGACATTGTGTTTCATTAACTTGATTAATGACATCTATTGGGGCATGCTCCATAGTAATCAACGTCTCTGCAGAGAAGGGCAGTCTTCAGCCAGAGATGAGCTTCTACTGCCCAGAACTGACTGGTCTTTCTGTCTCCTGTTTGTTTCCTAAAGTCTGCACTCGGAAAGAATCGTACATTCATAAATATGAAAGTAGTAAGCAATAAGAGACCATTAAGTAGACCCCAGATGACCATTAGGAAGTTTCCATTTCAGAAACTATGTGCGTTTCATAAAATAGGTCCTTTGAAATTGAAGAATAAAGCATCCGGTGGCTGCATCAGCTCCACGTAAGATGTTCCAAATTATCTGGTGGTATTAGAACCTACTATGTCCTCATTGTACTGCTCTTTGCTTTGATGTCTTTAGTAATTTAATATAACACATTCATTGCCAGCAGAGAAAACCTCTGCTAGAATGTAGCAGTAAAATACAAGGTGAAAAAAGGGGATTTTTCCAACATTAGGTGTAACTAATACACATATTAAAATTTAGTATGGCAGAAAAAAATATTTATGTCAATTGCTGTTTGACAAAAATACCAGGTTGTCTTATTACTTCCACCAGCATACTTTTTGCCTGTCCTGTCCACAATCCTCTGTGCCATTTACAACTAAGCAACTAAGTGCATCAAAAGTTCAACATTACGATGAAGTAGTGAGTCCCAAATGTATACACCCTCCATGCAGTATTACATAGTTTAAAAGGGCATAGTGAAGGTAAAAATAAAAAGTATGTGATTTGGAAAGCTTTCTTTTTTTTAAACAAAACAAGTGACTGCTTTTCGTGTCCATGTATCCTACCACAGCTCTTACAACCATCCCTTCAGGGTGGGTCACATCCTGGGTCAGTATATGGGAGATGAGAAGCTTCTCATCTCAGACACTACACAGAAATAAACACTGAAGGCCACTGATTCCCAGCTCGAGGCACTTTTTGCCAGAGAAGAGGGATACAAAAGCAGAGATCAAAAAACCCCACCTGGAATTCATATTTACCTTTCATCATCTGCTTTTTACCCACATTGTACTCAGTCTTATTTGCTGGCTCTCTTAAGGGAAAGCTGTTCTGGTGAAGCTCCAAGCATGTGGCTCCTGGGCTGCCAGGGCTGCTGCTATGGGAGCTGAGTCAGATAATTTGCCCGTTCAGGTTATTTTCTTTATTCAGCTCATGACAGTGGCAAAGTAGGAGAACAAGTGCAGCAATGAATTAGCAGAATACTTCAAATCCACAGTCACAGGGATTTGCTCACTTAATATTGTGAAAGCACACAGTTTCAATTAAGAGCTCAAACTAAATTGTAGCAGCTAATATCTATGATTTTTCTGAATAATTTATATAGATTAGTGTGTTTAGAGAGATATGTAGGCTACTGAGCTTGAACAATCCCCCAAAAAATTGTGTTGATAATACAGTTAAAGTCTGATCCATTTTATTGTAGATAAAAAAAATATAACTAAACATATTATAATAATGCTATTTATCTAAAACAAAATAGCCTTAACGTTTTGGCAGTGAAACGTATGAAATGCTTATGACTGTTCTTTAATATAACAAAGAAATGAAAAAATATTTTTAAAAAGAAATATAGTCTATGAAAACCAAAATTTTTGCTGATGCCAAAAACATTTGGCCATGACTTTAGTTCAACATCACTTTGTAGTTTGTTTAATTCTGAATCCTCTACTTTAACTTTATGGCCTTCTCCATTTTGGTATGTTAGAAGCCAAAAGTGACAAAAGGGTGGACTGCGAAATAGGCCGGATGGGCATAACATGGCCACATATTTAAGTAATTGCATTAAAAATGTTCCAAAAGGCAGTCAACATAAATGAAACTTAACCTTGAGACCTAAAACATTTGACTAAGAAACTGACACCCTGTGAAGTTCTCACATATGGAGAAATAAGCTCTTTGTCTTAAGCTGTACCTATACTTTTTAAGGTAAGCCATTTTACATTGGACTTTATAAGGAATAAACTGCTGTTGAAGACAGCCTCAACTGGTCATTCCAGGTACTACAGTTCACTTACAATGTAAAGCACCTTGAGGCAGCTGTTGATGTGATTTGGTGCTATATAAATAAAATGGAATTGAATTGAAAATCTGTGTGGGTATGAAACATTTTACAGAGTTGTTTGGCTTTAATAAACTTTAGTGTAGATTACTGTGATTGGCATTGTGTATGGGTGCATTGTTAGGTGTATATTCTAGATGTTAATTAGCAACTTCTACATATGACTGATATTGTCTCTATAGCATCACTCTTGTAAAACTGAATGGTGCTTCAAAGCCATTCATATCATAATTATATGCATGGTAACAACAAACAGATGTACTCTGTGGTATTCAAGTAGACCTCTGCATATGCACGTTCTGGGTTGAAATCTAACATTTGACCTCAGTGGCTGACTTTTGTTAGCTGTGTCACTGAGATATATCATTCATCAGTGCAGCAAGCTCAAATAGGTGACACCTTCCCACATTGGTGTGCAAGTTATGCAGTAATGATGTACAAGGCCAAGTGTACTCACCATCCTCCCGAGACTTCTGAATGAAAGCATCAACACCGCTCTCTCCATAGTTCCCCTCTGAGGCCACTGTGGAAACATAGTTCCAGCGCATATACTTCACAATATCTACCATGGCCTGGGCCTGGTAGGTATCAGGAGGCACCACTCGGGAGAAGAAGTCATAGCGGGTGTTGTCACTTAGCTCTGGAGCTGTGGAGGCATAGCTCACCTGGGGTATCTGCACAAAAAAAAAGTAATAATAAAATAAGCTTGAAGGAGCTTCTAGTCAAAGGAGTTGTGGGATTGAAGTGAACAGTATCAAGGCAAAGCAATGCACACTTACTTGTGTGTGCTTTTCAACTAGAAGGGAATCAAAGTGCTTTACATAAGACATAAAAGGCATTAGGACAAGATATAAAAGAAGCTCAAAGCTATACAGTAATAGCAGACACAGATAGGATTTAAAAAGAATACAATAAAAAAAAAACACAACAAAAGTAAGTGACATATTTAAAGAATAAACAATTTAATTTAATAAAGGGCACTTGCCCTAGAGTTTATAGATAAGTTTATTGTACATAAAAACTGAATACTGCTTATCCACTTTTAGTTTTGACTAAGGGACAGTAAACAGACCTTCAGAAGAACAGGAATGTATTGTAGCCTGACCATTCAGTGCTAAGTAGAATCATTTCACAGCCACTCATTTAAAACGAGGAATCGATACAAATGTGTGAAAACTCAAGTCATATCAGCCACTTGATCTTGGTCTCAATGTAACAGCAATGTTCTGAATAAAAATGGTAAATGGTCTGTATTTGTATAGCGCTTTACTTGGTCCTAAGAACCCCAAAGCGCTTTACACTATACACAATCATCCACCCATTCACACACGCATTCACACACTGGTGATAGCAAGCTACAGTGTAGTCACAGCCACCCTGGGGCGCACTGACAGAGGCGAGGCTGCCGGACACTGGCGCCACCGGGCCCTCTGACCACCACCAGTAGGCAACGGGTGAAGTGTCTTGCCCAAGAACACAACGACCGAGACTGTCGGAGCCGGGGCTCGAACCTTCCGATTACAAGATGAACGCCCAACTCTTGAGTCACGATCGCGGCTCAATATGTTGATGCAACTTTCTAGATATAGTAGTCTGGCATAAATCATTTTGTTTGTCATGCATCCTTATGATAGTAGTCCGATTTTGTGAATGTCTTCATGTAGTCATTGAAATTGAAGCACCAATACACCATTTTTTTCCATTACCAATTGGAGCTGAGATTCAAGTTATTTAAGTTATTTCTCTTTAGACAGTTATCAAACAACACCCTGCTGATCCATTTATAATACCCAGCATCACTAGTCCCTTATGCTACCGTAGGCTGGCCAGAATATAAATTGAGATCACGAGTATGTCACACATTTCAGCATGGGTCACTTGCTGGTATATTTGTGTACCACAGAATGTCCATGCTTGGCTCTAGCTTCTACAGCTAAGCATGATAGAAAATGATATAAAAATAAATAACTGAAGTATTGTACATGGGGTACAGTGTATAAGGTTTTATAAGCATTAGATTAGATTAGATTAGATTAGATTAGATTAGATGAAACTTTATTAATCCCTCGGGTGGGTTCCTCCGGGAAAATCAGTTTCCAGTAGCAAAGCAGATGTGCAAGATGCTAATTTTTCTGCTCCAACTCGATCAAAGATTTCACTGATGTGTGCACCAAGAAAAACAATATGCACAAAAATAAATAAATAAAACATATAGGTGAGCTAAAGCAAGAAGCTTTTCTTGAGTGACCATAATTTTATATAAGGCTTACTCTTAGCTGGTGTTGTGTTTCTCAACACAAGAGGCTGTTTTCAGGGATTTCACCATGTCAGTTGTTGTGATAGATAAACTGTGTTTGTGTAAATGGAATTTTTCATCCCTATGGGTCACACTGAACAAAACAGACAGACGGCAGAGGTGTTTCCTGGTAATGATACACAGTGTGCCTTTTTGATGAGGATCTGTCGTCATGTTTTTGTGTCTCTGAACAAAATGAGGAGAAGGTGCACTCAGTGAAACATGAGCCTAATGAAAACAGCACTGTTTCCCTCCAGATACTTCTTTGCCACATGCAGCATTTCATTATCACTGACAGACCTGTAGGCGCACGCACACACAGATAACCCTTGAAATGAAAACATCTGACTTAAAGGCAATGTCCTCCCAACATGATGAACACCAGAGTGGCCTAACGCCCTTCTTTACATTACAGTATATCAATAAAAATGAAGAACTTGTCTCCACTCACCAGTGACTGCAGATCAACCTTGGCATTGTAAATACAAATACATATTCGACAAACAGAAAACAAACAAACAAACAAAAAACATAGGTGCGGCATGTTCATAGGTAGTTAGTAAGAAGAATCTGAAAGGTGAAACTAGTAAGTATGCATTGTGATTTATGTTTGAAAATGCCTTAGTTATTGGGATAGTATGTGCCATGCGCCACTTGCCTTGAAATGTGATCATGCAAAACTGGTCAGCCAGGAATCAACCTGTTAAACTTCCAATTAGTAGATGACTTGTTCTATCTCCTGAGCAGGTCCTCTATTAAGTTCAGTCAAAATTTTGTAAAAACTTCACATGCTGAACTAAACTAAAGATAAATCCTTTGGGAGCTAAAAATTGAAGCAGTTTATCAACCTGCTTACATGCATCACATCATAATCAGAACACATCGTGACCTCTATAACAATTACTTTGGTGTTTTTATTCTCTTTTCTGCTTTAATTATACTACTATGACAATTAGCTTATGTTGCATTGTTTCATTTTAAAATTTCCTTTATTTCCTAATTTATTTGTTTTTATGTTTCAGGTTGGATAATGGGTGAAACATGGTAGAGGCAATATCACCTTCTTGAATCCTTCTCAACAGCAGAAAAACAAAAACTGGTCAGAAGTGGGGGGAATAAAAATGCAACCAACTACATTGCAACAGCAAACAAAAAGAAGGTAAGATAACTGTGCAGTGGCTTTAGGGGAAGTCATGACTATTTGTGAATGGCCCAGCCAAAGTATAAACTTTAACTTCACAGAACATCTGTAGGGAGACCTGAAGACAGCAGTTCTCTGAAGCTTTCACAGGCTCTGCCAGGAGGAATGGGATAAACTGTCCAAATCCAGGTTTGCAAAGCCTGTAGAGACTTACCCAAGCAGACTGCTAGTGTAAGCTGTAACTGCTGCAACGCTGGTTACTTTTATCATGGTTTCTTAAGTCTGAACTGACAGAGAAGGAAAAAATCCAATATTATAGACTTAAAATTGTTAAAACAATACTGAATACTTTCTAAAGCGATGGCATGTGTACATTTTTGTATTGCGAAATAAAAAAAAAAAACACAAAAACTCTGAATATGTGACGCTCATCTGAGGCCAAATTTGAGGTGAAGAGGGTTGGTTTCTTTAAAGCTATCAAAAGAAACACAGCAGGCCAAAAACACATGTTGGTACATGGCGTTTGTTTGTGCTCTTTTCAGTCCCATCTACAGCAGCCTTATCCATGCATGTCTAAGATACCTTAGCTTGGTTTGAAATCTATTCTTGAGGATAGGTTAGAGGCCAGACTCAACGAGGTACTTCGCTTTTGTACCAGTACTTTAAAATGATTCCCTGAGCAAGCACTTGTGAGGGAAAACATGAAATAATGGAATATGTTATAATGGAGCAGAGTGTATTCATAGACTGGAATCTTTGAAAGCTTACTTTGTCAACCATAATATATTACTGATCAAACTTATGTGGGGATAAAAAACGACACAAAAGTCTCCTTGGAAACAGTCATTATTATTATTATTATTGTTATTGTTATTATTATTATAATACTGCAGTTACTTTTCCTTTTAAATAAGAAAACAGTTCAGTAAAATTAACCGTCATCTGTGTAGGGGTAGTTATGTTGTTTATTTGTTATTGAAATAACAAACCAATTAATTTCATATTTCCTTTTCTTGCTCCAACTCATATAACATCTCCCAGATAGACAAGTAGATGGACAGACAGATGGAGAAAAAATAGAAACCCTCTGAACCAGTAACATGAACCTGCACTACATCAAAAACATCAAGGGTTTGTTCAAATTATATCGACAAAATACATCCTGGGTGGCCTGCTGAATATGGGAAAGCTCATAAGTATGCACATCACGATGAATGGATTAAGATCTAAAGAATCTCATTATTTACCTTGCATCTGAAATGAACAAAGGTGCATTTTAGGTGCATTGTTATTTGAAGGAGGAAATAAATCACAAGTGAATAAGCATACTTGCTTGCTTGGCATGTGACTTTCTCAGCTTTGACACCCAACGTGTTCTCTCCCGAGAACTCTGCAGAGTGCAAAGCTGTTTAATTGTTGTGACTATTAACTGGTATATTCAGAGACCAGAAATAGCAGATTTCTGTCACACCATGTCACTCTGAAAAATCTGTCAGTTTCTGTTTTACTGGCTTGTTGCTTGTCGCTAACAAAGATGTGTAAAGGTTTTCATCTTGACCAGGATTTTTTTTTTTTTAACCTGAACTTGCGCTCTTAGCATTAAGCACCTGAGTTTGTGAAAGCAGTGGGAAAGCTAGCTGTGAATGTGATAGAACTTAATGATTTCAGTGTGATTCACATCCCAGCGACACATGGTAATCTGACTATAAAAAGAAAGTCTGCCTGCAGAAACTGCACTTACTATTGAGTTGAATGTCAGTCCTCTAGAATTCATTGTAAAACAAAAAACACATGACATATTATATAAATATGTATGTAAATAAAAATTTTAGGCTTTGATATTTAGTTGGACTACACCTGCAGATAGGCATCTTATCCTAAATTACTTGATTTAGAATTTAGACTCTTGCCTATTTAGGTCAAGACTCTGGATAGCAACATTTTCAAACATCCTAACATTACCTCAGATCCTAAGTGCTACGCTAAAATTATAATCTGGCAGAGAAAATTGGTGTTTCCTCCCTTTATGTTTTCCAGCATCATTTAAGACCTTTTAGTGACTGTGTGGTGCCATATTTATCTCAACTGTTTGCTTTGTTGAGCATCCTGTTGAGATGAGGAGCAACTTAATGATGATAATATTGGGACCCGAGGTGTAGGTGCAGTATTTTTCTGAGCAAATGATGCTGGCATGCAAAGTAGCTGACTATATTTGCATCTGTAATTCAGACACCTGA